GTTATGATGAATTACGAATTAATGTGCGACAACAGGATGATATTTCTTATAGAGACATATTATCGAGAATTCGCATAGGAACAGTAACAGATTCAGACATAACTACTTTAATGACAAGAAGCATAAAATTTACTAACATTACTTGTGATGGGCGAGTATATGAATTATGTAATTATTTAGAAACGTTGCCAGTAGATGCAGTTTGCTTACTTCCAACATGTGCAATGTGTGATGTTTTAAATATGGCAATGTTAAGTCGTATTTCTTCAGACAAAATAAAACTTGTTGCTCATGACGTATCAGACTGCGCACCATTTTTAAAAAATAAAGTTCAAAAAATATTAAATAAAAACGATGAAGATTCATCTCGAACAGCTGGATTAGCGAGAATTATTATTGTAAAAGAAAGAGCGTGTATAATGATCAGAAGAAATATTGATGTCACCTTAGGTCTTGTGAATGGTACGATTGGTACAATAACTTCAATTATACGAAATCCGAAGGATAATGAAGTAGAAAAACTAAAAATAAAATTATCATTTGGAATTGAACATACGATAGAACAAATTAGCGTTAAGTTTGAAGTAATGGATAGAGCGTTTGTTATAAGAAAACAATTCCCTATATGTCTAAGTTATGGAATGACTATTCATAAAAGTCAAGGACTGAGTTTAAAACATGCCGTTGTGGAAGCTGGAAATTCTGTTTTTACCTGCGGACAAATATATGTTGCTCTTTCACGAGTAACTACGCTGAATGGACTACATCTTATAAATTANGATCTTTCATCTGTGAAAGCAAGTGAGTTTGCTATCAAAGAATATAACAGATTACGAAAACAATATAGACCTGATCTCACTTGTATTACAATTTCAAAGAAACGTATTCGCAAAGTACATGATTTTACTTGGACCATATCAAAATGTATTTCAGATTGTCAAAGTAATAATACAGATAGTGATCTCACTTCATGGTGCATACGAGGATTTTTAAATCAAGATAATGTATCATGCTATGCTAACGCTTCTATTCAGTGTCTTTTAAATTTTTCTATTATTAGAAAAACGTTATTATGTTTAGAACGGACAAATGCTGTGAGAAAATTACTGGATAGCTATATCTCCAATGATAAATTTATAAATGTAACTGAAGTGCNTAGACTGACAGGTGAGAAATATCTTCAACCTGTTAAACACGATGCTGGCGAATTTATTGTACAGCTTATTGATAACATACAAAGTGTAAAAAGAATGACTGAATATCATTTAACTACAACTTTGCGATGTAAAGTATGCAGTTATACAACTATGGAAACGCATAGTACTTCTGTTCTTTTGGTACGTATTCCTGAAACTATAAAAAAGTCTTATACTCTTCAAGAACTCATACAGTTAAATTTTTCATTTTGGAATAATGTCGAAAAAGTATTGTTGGATGTCGAGGAAGGTCGGGTGGTCGAGATGAAGTTCAGAACACGAACTTGTATTTTTATCCTTTATTTCTCTGATTACAACTCCTTCTATATCTTACACGGCTGTATCTCACTGCGGTAAACTCTCCGGCTTGCGGAGCCACACAG